TCTCCCGGTCCCCGCCGCCACTACGCCCCCGCCGGGCAGGAAGAGTCGGCGAGCGGAACGGCTCCGTGCGGTTTCGACGGCACCGCGGCGCCTTTTCCGCTGGCCCGGGGCCGCGCGGAGCCGCGTTTTCCACCCCGCCTCCGCTTCCCCTGGGTGTCTGCGAGCCGGAGATAAGGCCGGGATGGTGATCCCCGGAGCGGGCAGGGATAGCTCCGGAGCGGGGAGGGGTAGCCCTGGAGTGGGGATGGATTTATCCCTGCAAAAAGGCTAGTTTGGGAAAAATCAGGCACCTCTGCAGCCGTTTTCCTCCTTCCTGCTGGAAGGAAGGAGGATGCCCAGGACAAGCCCCGGCACTGGATTGCCCGGGCCACCAGCTTTCCCGGGAAGAGGTGATTTTAGGGACTCCTTTGACCACCCTCACCCTTTTCCTCTCCCTTTTGCTTTCCGTCATCCAGGAACCTGGAAAACGTCCGGAGCGACAAGACGCCCGGCTTCATGCCGGAGGTGCTGGCCCTGCTGCGCGCTTGCACGCATAAGGTGAGCACGGAGGCGCCGCGTCCCGGGATGCTCCGGGTGCCGACGCCGCGGCATCATCGTGCCGTGGGCTTTTCCCTTTTCCCTTTTCCCAGCTGCAAAGCGCCCCGGAGCCCGGCGCCGTGCCGGCGCTGGAGAACGCGGTCACCTACGCGCTGCACCTCTGCGAGTGCCTGCTGGACCCCTACCAGACGTGGAGGCGGCAGCTGAGCGGGTGAGCGGCGCCTGATGCCGGCGGGCACGGATGCGCCGGGATGCCGGCGGGAATGGGCGCCCGTGGGTGGCCCCCGGGCCTTGCTCACGTCCCGTCTGCTTGCAGGGAAGTGGTCAGCGCCGCGGAGAAGAGCAAGTACAAGTTCACCCCTGCCGTGCTGCCCCCCGAGTTCGGCGCCTTGTTCCAAGGTATATGGCCCCAAGGGCGAGTATATGGCCCCAGGGCCAGGTATATTGTCCAGGGACGGGCATGTGGCCCCAGGGATGGGCATGTGGCCCCAGGAACGGGCATAAAGCCCCAGGGACATGTATATTGTCCAGGTGTGGGCATGTGGCCCCAGGGACAGGCATATGGCCCCAGGAACAGGCATATAGCCCCAGGGACAGGTATATTGTCCAGGTGTGGGCATGTGGCCCCAGGGACAGGCATATGGCCCCAGGGGCGGACATATAGCCCCAGGGACAGGTATATTGTCCAGGCGTGGCTATATGGCCCCACGGACAGGTATATTGTCCAGGCGTGGGCATGTAGCCCCAGGGACAGGCATATGGCCCCAGGGGCGGACATATAGCCCCAGGGACAGGTATATTGTCCAGGCATGGGTATATAGCCCCAGGGACGGGCATATGACCCCAAGGGCAAGTATGTGGCTCCAGGGACAGGTATATTGCCCAGGTGTAGGTACCTGACCCCAGAGCAGTTATATGGCCCCAGGGACAGATATATTGTCCAGGCGTAGGTACCTGACCCCAGGGACGGGTATGTGGCTCCAGGGACAGATATATTGTCCAGGCGTAGGTACCTGACCCCAGGGACAGGTATATGGCCCCAGGGACAGGTATATTGCCCAGGCGTAGGTACCTGACCCCAGAGCAGGCTTTTATTTTCCATCTTACCCTCTCTCCTCTCCCATGCTCGCAGAGAGTTTCCAAGCCAGCGTGCAGCTCCCGGATGCGCTCCAGCTCCGGCTCATCCATCTTTTCGGAGCCATCCTCTCTGGAGACAAGGTAGCAGCAGGGGCCGTGGCGGCTGCGTTCACCTGGGTCTGTTTGTCTTGGAGCGTTTTGTGAGGCTGGAATTCAGGCTCCAAATCCCTGTCGGGTGGGAGATGCTCTCTGGGCACCAACCCATTGGTTTTGCAAAAGCCACCCCAAACAGCGTGGGAAATGTGAGCCCAAATTCACCGCAAAGGGCCGCGGTTCAAACCAGGAGCGGTTTGAGACGCTCTTGGGGAAAAGGCTCCCGGTTACGCTCCAGCATCACCGCTCCGAGCAGCTTCCTGAATCAGCACTGAGCAAAAACACGCTGGAATTATCTCAGTGTTGAAGAAAGCTCTGAGTGAGCAGCTCCAACGCGC